TGCAGTGTTGGGGGGCGCTCAGGACCAGGGTTGAGAAACACTGCAGTAGAGTATCACATACTCACACACAGCAACACTAAAGATCAGGGACACTGACCAGGATAATCCTTGACAAAGCTCCTGTAGAGGTCAGCCAGCTGGTCAGGGCTGATATAACGGCTCGGGTCATCAGGTGATTTGAAGTCCAGGTCGTACTTGCCACCCTTGTAGAACTCAGAGGCAGCCACATCCATGCCGATCACAATCTTGTCGGTGTAGCCAGCTTTGCTAATGGCATTCTTCAGCAGCTCCAGAGCTGAAAAAGATAAGTAGTCGATGCAAGATTTCAGGTTAAAATGTATATTAATGTATAAGGTAAAGTATATGTTTTAGGTTTCAAAACATATACTTTACCTTTAAAAAACATTTTTTTTACACTATTGTAAATCTTATCCTTGCCTTCACTTGTTAATTTTAATGGTTCTGCAGTCTGACAAATGCAGTTTTAAATATACAAAACATTCAATGTAGTCTGTAGAACGTTAACTTCCCAAAAGTATTTCATGCCAAATGCCCAATACATCTGTAAGCACTCATAACAAACCATTAATATTTCTGCAGTTTATATTAGCTACAGCTAAATAATAACTTCAGGCACTGATTTGTACTTTGTTTAAACATTAGTGCATCTTGAGAATATATCTCATGGTGCTATGCTTATGACACATAAGCTTTTAAGCTACAGCAACTTCTGGATTCCTTTCTAATGTTTTAGTCTAATTAATGTTACAACTAAATTAATGTTAAAATAACAAATAATATGAGTAAAGAAGAGGATAAATATTCAGACATTCAGAGAGCAAGTAATCCAATTAGATGTGAATAAACTCTAACATTATTTTTCTCTGAAATGGGCAGATGTTATGACTGTGATTCGCAGGCAGCACAGAGGTCATGCGCATTCCCAGAATTCCCCAGAGAGTGAGCCACAGCTGCAGAACTTCACTAGGTTCAATTCAATTATACCAATGCACCAGATCTTAAAATGAAAACCATTTGTTGTTTGATGGGAATTAGTTTTGAAGTTTAGGTAATAATTCATAGTAACATTTTGTTGTTCAATGGTCATGTTTGTAAACTCGCTCATCTATAATCAAGATAACCGTAATCTCTGACTCCTTGAGTTATCCCAAGCGTCTACACTATCTACAATCTGTACATCTTATACCATATTGTACTGTATAGTACTTATCTATACTTGTTTGCTTACCGGGGGCTAAAAAATGAATTTGGTTCTAAATGTATATCTTTTCTAAGATCAAACGAATAGTTTACATTTAATTCCCAAAGTATGTTTTACCGTGAATATGTTTTATAGTTATGGTGGCTAATTCTGTAGTATTTACATTCTTAAAAATCTGCTCCATAAAACTGAGGCAGATCTAGATCTAGACCTGTTATCATGAAACTCCAGACTCTCACCTTCTTTGTTCTCAAGGATGTTGGGAGCGAAGCCACCTTCATCGCCCACATTGGTGGCGTCTTTGCCGTACTTCTCCTTAATGACATTCTTCAGATTGTGATAAACTTCAGCACCAATGCGCATGGCCTCTTTGAAGTTGCTGGCACCGACAGGCAGGATCATGAATTCCTGCATGGCCAGCTTGTTGCCGGCGTGGGAGCCGCCGTTGATAACGTTGAAGGCCTTTGAAAACAGACAGTCTATTTATAGTGTGTCATAGTTTGCATCCTTTAGTAATGTTTATGGTTTATGTCATGGGGCATTTATTCCAGACCAGATGTAAGTAAGTATACACCAATACAGCAATTTTGTCTGATATTAGCTGCTATGTATGATATTTATAAATATTTAGAATATGTTTTTAAAATAATATCAACTTGTATCAATGTTAAATTTAATTTTAAAAAAAGCCACTGTGGCTCTTTTATTGAAATTGGTAACTTACTAGCAAATAAAACTGTGCAGACAAAATGCTCTGATGAATTCAGTCACATGACTTGTTCAGAGCAAAGTCACGTGACTTTTAAGATGTACATCGAAGAATTGATTCAGGAAATGTGTTTCCATTTTGGTTTATTTACAGAATAAATAATGTATCCAACTTGAGGAAGCATCCTGCATTTTTATGTGATATCCCAAAATTTGCATTAAATAGGTGGATGGAAACCAGTCCAAACACTGTAATATACAGCAGAAAAGATTGATAGTTGTTCTGTTTATTATTGTGAGCACGTACAGGGACAGGGAGAATGACTTCTGGGTTGCCAGCGAGGTCTGCGATGTGGCGGTAGAGGGGGACGCCCTTCTCTGTAGCACCAGCCTTGCACACAGCCAGGGAAACGCCCAGGATGGCATTAGCACCGAACTTTGCTGTAGATTCGAGACGAGCGCATTCATTAAAATAATGGATGCATATTTCAGAGTCTTTATAAACCAGCGTGAAGAGCTGTGATACATTACGCTTTCATACGGTGAATAAATTCTGTTATGGCAACTCAAGCAATTGTAACTACACTGCAAAAAATGGCTTATCTTACTTAGTCTTGTTTCTAGTC